GAGTGCAGGTGTCTTTTTTGTAGAGTGTCATTGGATCTTTTGGGTAGATGCCCAGTAATGGGATTGCTGGATCAAATGGTAGATCCACTTGTATCGCTTTAAGGTATCTCCATATTGCTTTCCACAGAGGTTGAACTAGTTTGCAGTCCCACCAGCAGTGTAGGAGTGTTCCTCTCTCTCTGCATCCACGCCAACATCTATTGTTTTGGGGCATTTTGATAAAGGCCATTCTTACTGGAAATAAATGATATCTCATTGTAGTTTTTATTTGCATTTCCCTGATGATTAGAGATGTTGAGCATTGCTTCATATGTTTGTTAGCCATTATTCTGTCTTCTTTAGAAAAGTTTCTGTTCATGTCCTTTGCCCACTTCTTGATAGGGTTGATTTTTTCTTGCTGATTTTCGTGAGTTCTAAGTAGATTCTAGTTATCAGCCCCTTATCAGATGTGTAGGATGCGAAAATTTTCTCCCATTCTGTAGGTTGTCTGTTTACTTTCATGACTGTTTCTTTGGCATGCAGAAGCTTTTTAGTTTGATCATGTCCCATTTATTTATTTTTGTTGCTGTGATTGCCTTTGGGGTCTTCTTCATAAATTCTTTGCCTAGGCCTATGTCTAGGAGAGTGTTTCCAACATTTTCCTCTAGAATTCTAATAGTTTCATACCTTAGGTTTAAGTCTGTTATCCAGCGTGAGTCTATTTTTTAAGAGGTGAAAAGTGTGGATCCTACTTCAGCCTTCTACAAGTGGCTATCCAGTTTTCCCAGCACCATTTATTGAAAAGGGATTCTTTTCCCCAGTGTATGTTTTTGTCTGCTTTGTCAAAGATTAGATGGCTATATGAGGATGGTTTTATATCAGGGTTCTCAGGTATGTTCCACTGGTCAATATTTCTATTGATTTAATTACTACAGCTTTGTAGTATAATTTGATATCTGGCATATTAATATCTCTCATTTTGTTTTTATTGCCTAGAATTGCTTTTCATATGCAGGGTCTTCTCTGGTTCCAAACGAAGTGTAAAATTATTTTTTCCATTTCTGTGAAGAATGATGATGGGATTTTAATAGGTATTGCATTGATTCTGTAGATTAGTTTGGGTCCAGGAGACAGGCTCTTGACATGCTGCTCAGAACACTCCTTCACATGTCTCGTAAAAACTCACAAAGGCAAGAAGATGTCTCATGCTACCTCCGTGCACACGGGAGGACCCGGAGCCACCACAGGAAGCTCCACATCACTCTCCGATCCAGCGGGTCAACGGACAGGGACGTGGACGGTTTCAGTGGCTCTTTTAAGAGCACCCATTTCATTGCTGCCTTTGATGGAGAACAAATTTAGCGGATCCTCAACTTCTCCCTTGTCTCCCATGACATCTGTCTGCTGAAGTTATTCTGCCAGCCGAGAGAATAACAAGCAGGTGGGAGTGTGACGTGGCCACACCACGTCCAGGTCTCGCGCGCTCCCCGCTGCACGGCGCTCACCAACCAACCGGCAGCAGAAACCAGCTCTCGTCTGACAGCAGCGAGCCCACGCACCTCCAGAATGAGGGCGTTTGGCCCTCAGGGTTAAATTCCAAACTAACTCAATTAAGGGCAGGGAGCTGTCACACCATTTAAGGAAAGACGAGGTGTTTCGGCAATAAACAACGTGGTCATGAGCTGCGTGATGTAGTGACACGTGACTGGGGGAGTGTCCATCAGAAGGCCGTGGGTCGACAGGGAAAACACCAAGGGGCGGGAAGAAGCCCGTGGCAGGGCCCCAGAGCGTCTGCATGGCCCAGGCCGCTCCAGCTCACCGAGCCTCCGAGGGGTGCAGTGCACAGAGCCCCCCCGCACACCCGGCAGGCAATGGTTCCTTGGACTGCGAGTGCCATGCTGCCTGCAGGGTTAGCCCGGCACCGGGAGATGCCCCGTTGCTCCCTCCGTAAGGCACACCCCTGGGATCTCACAGGGACACCTCATGGGGCCAGGCCTTTTGTGACATGCTCCCAGGGAGACCGTTTCCCACCTCAGGGCCCGAGACAGACACGCACACGCTGCCTGCATTGTCTGTGGGGCCTGGCGCAGAATGAAAACCCGAGGGCCCTCATTCAAGTTTTTTCCCTTCCTCCACGGACTCTGTTAGGGGCTGTGTCCCCCAATTCAGACGCTGAGGCTCTGACCCCAGACTCTGCAGAGGCCGACACTCAGTGAACTCTCTCCACGCCCTAGAGGGAGAGACCCAAGTCTGGGAGGACAGGCGTGTGGGAGCGTGTTTTGCTTAAGCATGTGGCCTGCTCAGCCCCCATAAACACACTGGAGGGGGGCCCAGCAGCCTCCGTGGTCTCAGTGGCCACGTCCCCTGGGTGTATCCAACAAGACACCAGGAGGGGGCAGCACCGCAGCGCCGAGACAGGGACAGGGAGGACAGATTCCCCAGGGCATGTTTGAGTGCTCTAGCGAGGGACAGAAACCTGTGACTGGGGGGGCGCTGCCTTGGGGTTTCTCGGGCACAGCGATCTGGCGACGTGTTCTCCAAGGGGGAGGACAGCTGTGCGTCCTGCATCTGCCGCTACCAAGAAAGGCACAATCTTGGGTGTCTCTGGGGTTCCGGAAGCAACATTTCCCAGACTTGACCACTTCCAATTCAAGCTGTTAAGCTGTCAGATCCGCACCAGGTCAGAGCGAGAACAGCCTCTGCTGAAGGCTGGTGACAAAGCCGATCCCCCGAGAGCGTGGCGCCACCCAGCTCCGACAGGCAGCGTCTGGCAGAGCAGGTGCCCACGGAGCCACGGACGGGCCCTGAGTTCAGGGACGAAGCCCTGCTCTCTCCCACGGGTATCGTTCTCCCTTGGGGAGCCTGCTCCCGGCCCGCCTTCGGGGCCCCGGTGGATACACCACGGAGCAGCCAGTCACGCCGGCACGCGAGCCGACAAACTGTTACCTGTTACATGGCGCCACTGGGCTGGGCGGTGCTGTGCTCCTTGTCACACTGAGGTGACACGTACACACAAGCCTGGGCTTCCACGTGTCTCAAAGGCACAGACCTCGTGACCAGACAGCTCAGGCTGTCCCGGTGCCCACACGGCTGTGCCGACGGCTCCCCGCATCATCACGCACCCGCAGCCTCACGACGCTCCCGTGACCACTCAGCTGCAATGAAAAGGACCCGATTGCTGCAAAAGTGCCGACGCCACTCACCCGGGACGGCAGTCGGCACGACACCCACTCGAGAGCAGCGGGGAGAACCCGCCAGCTCACACGTGTAGTGCTCACTCCGGAAGGGCGACGGCCAGGGGCAGCCACCCCCGCCAAGCGGGCAGCAGTCAGTCTGGCTGGACGGGCAGCGTCTCGGAAGGAGCAGACGGGAAATCGGTGACAAGCGCTCTGGAGCATGGCCGGGGACTGAGGACGGGGTGAGTGGGTCTCCAGAAATGGCGGCGGGAAAGGACGCCTGTGTCCCTCCCCTGGAGGGCACACCATCCGCACACCCCGCAGAGGTTGCTCCCAAGGACCTCTCCCGCCAGCCGCCCCACCCGTGCCCGGGGGTCTCATAAGCAGAGTGGCCGTGGAGGCAGGGACGTCACAGACGGTCTCCACCACACAGGCTCCCTCCCGGGCGGGTCTGGCCACAGCGCACCGCTAGACGTCAAACCTGCTACCAGGAGGGACCAACCCCATCCCTCCAGTGAAAACATCACCCAGAAGTAACAGCCGGATCCTGCGGGCCCCACCCGGGAAGGGGCAGCGACGCCCTTGCACTGCCGGGCTCACAGAGACCACACGCACCACGGCCACTCACGGTGCTGCCTCCAGAGCCGTCTCGCACAGCTCGGGACCAGGCCCCCGACTGCACAGCCCTCAGCGCCAGCAGCAGCGAGCGGACAGCCCTGAGACTAGCGGGGCAGTGCAGAGGCTGCGGTGCCTGTGCGGGGCGTCTGCAGGGTGTGGCGTGGCTGCCCCAGGGGGTGCACACGGAGTGGGACGGCCCCTCGCACAGCCCCATGGGCCGCTGGCCACCTTCTGGGCTCTCACCGCACAGCTCTGGGCTCTGGTTTGGGCGTCTTCATTCCCAAAGCAGGAACGTTTCCACAGAGCAACTCGAGGAGCGTCCCACCACCCTGCGGCCACGGCTGCCACCTACCTGCACTAGGTGCCTTGTGCCAATGAGCACGGGCACAGAAGCGTCCATGCTGGCGTCCCGGGCGACTGCCCCTGCCTGTCTCGGGAAACAGGGCAGCCCGGGAGAAGGGGTGGGCGCGTGTCTGGGGCTCCAGCTGCCAAGGTGGAGAAGGGCGGCCCACTGAGCGGTGTGGGCAATGCACAGGCAGACCTGGGGTCGGGACAGCTGCCCAGGGGTCCTGGAGACCCCAAGACCCCTGGAGACTTGGGAATCCCGGGTTGGTGCCTGGGACCCTTCCTGCCCAGCCTACTGCTGGAAGCCTCCCAGGCCCTCTTTCCTCGAATTTCCCCAGTTCCTGTACTTAACCCCCACATCGAGAAACAGAGGGGCTCTGAGCTTCCTGCCACCGCAGGCTGGAGACCTGCGGCCAGCACCAGCACCCGCCACTGGCCACGCCCCTCAGGAGCCGCTGTCCTCAGGGCTGACGCAGGAGGCTCGAGCTGCACCAGCCCCGCCCCGAGCTCCAGACGCACCGTGACCTGCCCACGCCAGCCACCCTCTCTGCCTGGTGGCCGGTGCAGGTTGGACGTCCGCCCAGGCCTGACCCACGAGTGCAAGGCAGGGTGACGGGTAAGGAGCGCCTCTCCCTTCCCCTGGATGGCGTGTTATGGGAGTCAAGCCAGAAACGCTGCAGACGTCTGGCGCCACAGGAGAAGCCACCTGGAGGGTCACACCAGCACCTCAGGAGGAGCAAAATGCAACACTGCAGAGACACTGAACTTGCACCCTGATCAAACAGACCTTGAAATCCGCCCTATCTTTGGATTTTCAATTTACATGCTGTTAAGGTCTATTTAAGCTAGGTTTTCTAACCCAAAGCATCCTGACTTATAGGTGTTTTCATAAGACTGCTTTACTTGTGGATTTCTTGCCTAAGTGTACTAACATTTGTTTCTTCTCACAAAAAGTCCAAATTTTCAACAAAGCTGTGTGTGTAAGACTGATGGTTTCATTCCATTTGTTCTTTTCACAGCTGGTGTAAGCCACTAGGTTCTCAGTGTACTGCAAGATTGACTTTAAGAACCTGTTAAAAAAAGAAAAGAAATTAATTTCTTTATCCTTTCCATGATAAAATACGGTAACAATTTCAGTGTCTTCTCTTCGTTCTTGGAATTATTCCTAAATGCTGATTAGTTTTTGTCTGAGGATTCAAGAAAAATAAATACATATAAAACTAAAATAAGAAAAAGCAAATTAGAGGGAAGAGAAAAATGCTGGAATGTAAATGCCACCGTGCACTTGGACGGGCTCCCCAAACCTTACAAAACCCAAGTACCTTTGTAAATACACTCCCTCAAATGCCGAAGTTATGTTTATAAGTGGCAGGACGTAATTCCAGACGGGATCTTAGAGGCCGCCTGCTCGAGCCGACACCCGATACACGCAAACACACCACGCACAGTCGTCCCCCGGGTAACAAAATCTGCACGACTCGAGTCCCAGCTGGCCCTGAGCACCTCGGCTATGAAAAGTCGGCTGTCTGTACTCGCAGGCTTTGCACTGAGTGGTTTCTTTTTCCTCGCTGTGTTTTGCAGTCCACACCCTTTCTTTTTGGTTCGTTTTTGGGGGGGGCCTTGTTGTTCCGTTGGGCGGGTTGGTTTTTTTGAAAAATCCTGATGTAAGTGGATCCACAAAGTCCAACCTCGTTAATACAATGAAAGTCTACAGGTCCTTCATTCAGAGAAGTGGCTCTCAGCTGGGTGATTCTGTTCCCCAGGGGAATCTGGCAATGCCTGAGCCACTTTTGACTGTCACCAGTGTGGAGGGGCTGGGGCGCTGCTACACATCCCACAATGAGCAGCGCGGCCCCCACTGGCCAGTAGCGGCTGAGACACACTGACCCAGAGTCACCGGCGGCAAACACGTGCACGTCTGCTACCCACACGCTCTGAGCAATTCTGCGCTGCTTCCCATAAAAGGCCACAGGCGCATCTTCATGTTCACTTTAAACACGCGCTGAGGCGCCCGCCGCCTGCAAAGCGCTAGCTTGAAACCAGCGCGACAATCGCGGACTTGCCAGGCCAACGCCGCAACTGCCCGAGCCCAGACTGCAGTTCGGGTGGCCCTTTTCCCAGAGGCCTCCTCAGCTCTGGGATCTGCCATGTGACGGGCACACGGTGTTTTCCTACTTTCAGATCCCTAGATCTGGACGGTCCTAACAGGCGGACTTGCGAGTTTGAAACCATTGGTTACACGTCTGGTCGTGAGCCACTTGGACAGGGATGAGCCCATCTTGTGGGCCGGCCCCCAGACCCTCTGCTGGGACAGCTGTGGCCCCACCGAGGGGACAGATGGCGCCTGGAGCTCCTCCCGCAATGCTATTCCTAGAGTCCTCACCTAGGTGTTCAAAGACACGCCGACGGGGTGTCCGTCTTGCACAGTCACATACTTGATAGCCCCAAACTGCATGGGGAAGAACAGTTAGGCCCTCAGGGTCTGTGGGAGCCCATAAAAATCACCACAGACAACGACCAACGGGGGTGCAGTTACAGAGGACGACCAGCGGTTCGTTTCCGACGTAGACACACTTACTTCAGGTACTGCCGACACTCGCAAGCAGATTTCCCAGAAACGGCATGGATGTTGACCAATTCCAGTGCAACGAGCAACAGAATGAGGTAAAGCGCAGGGGACAGGAGCCTGACACTGAAAACGGGTAAAAGGAGATCAAAGTCAACAAACAGGCATCTCCACTTCTATAAAGAAAGGCAGTTTCCTGCAGCCAATGCCATTTTCAACCACCCCAGTCACCAGGCCCTCAGTGCGGCCACGACCCGCGACCTCTGCTCCTGGATGCAGGTGCGCCCAGCTCCCAGGTCTGGCCGGCCAGGCTCCGCCCTCTGCACCCACCCGTGGCCCCAGCACAGCCCCGCCCCGCCAGCACCTCTGCCTCGGTGCCAGGCTGACGGTGAGAACTCACATGAGACAGGAACAAACAGTGGGGTCTGAGAATGTGCTCAGCGTCACTGGACTCAAAGAAACCCCAACTAAAGTTTTCCCATGAAACCAGCTGAGACCTTTAAAAATATTCCACTTTGGGAGCAAGGTGAGGGAACGACACTGTCTTACACATCATAGCTGGCGACAGTGTAAACTCGGCACTGCCCTCCTGGAGAGCAACCCAGCAACACTGAGCACGAGCTTCAGAGACATAAACGCCACTCAACCCAAAAACTCCAGAGATTGTTTCAAAACAGTCATTTCTTAAGGATGTGGCCCCTTCCAAAACACACACTGTAAGTGAGGAAACCACAACACCATATGCCCAAGTTCATCCCCTGCTGCATTTTACATCCAAACGTTCATTTGGATGGGTACAACCCACATTCCCATATGCCAAAATTACAAGTGGTATTTTAAATAATATGCACTGTAACTTCCTCTGAAAATAAGTACAGCAAGTCCTGGAATGACGTCCTTTCATTCAATAACATTTCGTCACTGGTGAGAAAAGAACCGATTCCTGCCGGGGCCACTGTCGTGTGGCGCTCCTGTGTTCTCCTGTGTCTGTGTGGGCTTCCTGCACACCCAGAGGCGTGCACAGGAGGGGCGTGAGTGCGTCCACACTGTCCCTGTGTGAGTGAGGGCGTGTGTCCCATGGAGGACCACCCTGCACCCTGAGCAACCGGATGGGCTTTGGCCATCCACAGCCCTGCCCTGGAGTGAGCTGGAAAACGGACGCAGATTATAAAATAAAAATTCACAAAGTCTGCAAGGATCACACACACGCGTGGCAATGAGTGACGCAGCAGGCAACCGCCCCGCCAGCCCCTGTGGTGTTTCTGAAGTGCGTGATGGGAGCAAACGCCCGCTCTGTGGCCTGACCCACCGCCCTGACGGCCACAGGTAAGAGCGAGGGAGCGCTGCGTCCAGAGAGAACCTCCGCCCCGGGGGGCCTTCTCCAAACGGGGCGTGAGCCGCACACCTACTCAGCATGCGCAGGAAGTTCTGCCGCTGGCGCGACCGCAGCGCCCTCTCCACCCATTGCCTGTGCCTCAGCTCCGAGGCGGCGACGACCTGGCTGGACACGCGCTGGCACTGCGTGCTGATGCTCCGGAGCACGGCCGCCACTTCCAGGACAGCTCTCGGGCAGAACAGAGTGGGGACGCGGACGCTGCAGAGTTCTCCCAGCAGCTGGGGCCACCTGCAAACCAGAGAACCACCTCTATGGGGCGTGCTCACAACCGACCCCCGCCACCTCTGTGCCTGGGCCTGCCGCGCGTGAACTGCTGGTGAGGGAGGCCCTCGGTGCACCACCGTAGGTCCGCGGCTGTGACTGCAACACAAGCGGGGTGTCAAATACGCAACCTTTCATTGTGAGGAGCACAACAGGGCATTTATAACTCCCATCAGACAGACCCACGCTCGCACACAGCTTATCTGATGATTCCTCCTGGGGCAGAAACGGCGGATTCCAATGCTACTACCAACCTTACGTAATTTAAAACAGAAAATACCACAGTTTACTAATTTGCTTAATCAACGTTTTAACGATTCTCAGGATGTCCTGGAACTTACCTCTCAGGGGGGAGTTTATCCACGCCATTACAAACACCATGGCTCTCAGGCCCGTGGTGACAGAGCTCACACAGAATCTTAGTGATTAAGGAGTGGCAGGCATCTATTTCAGAACTGTCTTCTAATCTAAAAAACAGAAAATATTTAGACACATGACAGCGACTAAAATCCCTACATTAGTGCCTATGCAAAATGTTTTAAGTTAAGGTTCACTGAATAAAGAGCTTAATCTGCTTTCCCAGAAAGAATTAAAACAGCCACCATCACAGAGACGGGCAAAAATAAATGACACAGTATGCTAAAGAAAATGCACTACGTTGAGAAAAGACACTGCACAAATCGCCCCAGGACTGTTATATCACCCTGAACGACCATGTCTGCTGTAGCCCACGGTTCAGAAACTGGTATCTACAGCCTCGCTTCTCTGGCGAGCTTCAGACTCATCTTTTTAATTATCTGCTATTTCTCAGTGGACCCCATTAGGTTCCCAACAGAACCTGCCCCTTTCCATGTTCTGCGTTTTCAAATGCCTCCTAGCCAGCCAGGGCCACACAAGCACCACCTCCCGCTGGTCTCTACTGCACCAGACACCAGCCGCAGATCCCCCTACCCAGCCCACCTTCCAACAGCCCAGTCAAAAGTACTGTTGAAACTAACTGTAACTGAAACAACTAGGTGTGAGGGCCCCAGGAGACTAGACCTGGGTATGTCCCCATGGGTTTCTTACCCTAGGTCTGCAGGATGGACAGACACCTGTGCTGTCCCCTAGTGGGCTTCTACCCTTAGGTCCTGCAAGGATGACAGACACCAGGCTGTCCTCTGGTGGGTTCTACCCCTAGGTCTACAGGATGACAGGTACCTGGCTGTCCACTAGTGGGTTCTACCCCTAGGTCTGAAGGATGACAGGACACCTGAGTCCCCTATGGGTTCTACCCTTAGTCTGCAGGATGACAAGATACCCGCGCTTCCCGCCGTAGTGGGTCTACCCCTAGGTCTGCAGGATTGACAGACAGCCCTGACTGTCCCTAGTGGGGTTAACCCCCCTACGTCGCAGGATACAGACACCTGACTGTCCCCGTAGTGGGTTCTACCCCTAGTCCTGCAGGATGACAGGACACCTATGATGGTCCCCCAGTGGGTTCACCCCCCTAGGGTGCAGGATGACCAGACACTGGCTGTCCCTGGTGGGTTCTACCCCTAGGTCTGCAGGATGACAGACACCTGGCTGTCCCCTAGTGGGTTCTACCCCTAGGTCTGCAGGATGACAAGACACCCTGGCTGTCCCCTAGTGGGTTCTACCCCTAGGTCTGCAGGATGACAGACACCTGGCTGTCCCCTAGTGGGTTCTACCCCTAGGTCTGCAGGATGACAGACACCTGGCCTGCCCCTGGTGGGTTCTACCCCTAGGCGTCTGCAGGATGTACAACACATGCTGTCCCCCAGTGGGTTTCTACCCTAAGGTCTGCAGGATGGCAACACCTGACCTGTCCCCCAGTGGGTTCTACCCCCGTAGGTCTGCAGGATACAAGACACCTGCTGTCCCCTATGGGTTCTAACCCCTAGGTCTGCAGGATGACAGGCCACCTGGCTCCCCTGGTGGGTTTACCCCTTAGGTCTGAAGGATGACAGACACCAGCTGTCCCCTAGTGGTTCTACCTAGTCTGCAGGATGACAGATACCCAGCTGTCCCCTAGTGGTTCTACCCCTAGGTCTGCAGGATGACAAGACACCCCGACCTGTCCCAAGTGGGTTCTATCCTAGGTCTACAGGTGACAACACCTGGCGCCCAAGTGGTTTCTACCCTTAGGTCTGCAGAGACAGACACTCCTGGCTGTCCCTGGTGGTTCCACTAGATCGCAGGAATTACAGACACCTGCTGCCCCTGTGGGTCTACCCAGTCTGCAGATGACAGACACCCGCTGTCCCCTAGTGTGTTCTAACCCTAGTCTGCAGATGACAGACACCCGACTTCCACATGGTTCCTATCCCTAGTCTACAGGATGACAGACCCTGGCTCCCCCATGTGGGTCTACCCCTAGGTCTGCAGGATGACAGACACTGGCCTGACCTAGTGCGTTTACCTAGTCTGGCAGGATGACAGACACCCGACTGTCCCAATGGTTCTATCCCTAGGTCTACAGAGACAGACACCTGGGGTCAAGTGGTTCTACCTAGTTAAGGTGCAACACCTGGCTGACCCTAGTGGGTTCTACCTAGTCTGCAGGATGACAGACACCTGCTGTATGGTTATAGGTCTGCAGATGGACAACACCTGGCTGTCCCCTAGTGGGTTTATAGGTGGGATGACAGACACCCGCTGTCCCCTAATGTGGGTTCTACCTAGGTCTGCGACACCGGCTGTCCCAAGTGGTGTTTCTAGGTCTAAGGATGACACACTGGGCTCTCCCCAAGTGCGGTTCTACCCTAGGTCTGCAGGATGACAGACACCTGGCTGCCTAGTGGGCTTCTTACCCCTAGGTCTGCAGGATGACGACACACTGGCTGACCCTAGTGGGTTTACCTAGTTGCAGGAATGACAGACACCTGCTGACCCTGGTGGATTCACCCCTAGTCTGCAGGATGACAGGCCTACCCAGGCTGTCCCTAGTGGGTTCTACCCCTAGGTCTTGCAGGAGACAACACCCGACTTCCCAAGTGTTATCCCTAGTCTACAGTATGACAGACACCTGGGCTGTCCCAAGTGGGTTCTACCTTAGGGTCTTGCCAGGAGTACAGGGTACCTGGCTGTCCCCAAGTGGGTCTTTACCTAGGTCTTGCAGGATGACAGACCCTGGCTGTCCCCCTAGTGGGTTCTACCCTAGGGTCTGCGATGACAGGGCACCTGGCTTGTCCCCCAGGTGGGTTCTTCCCCTAGGTCTGCACGATGACAGAACCCCGATGTTCCCCTATGGGTTCTACCCCTAGGTTCTGCAGGATGACGACCGCCGACTGTCCCCTAGTGGGTCTACCCCTAGGTCTGAAGTGAGCAGGCTACCTGGCTGTCCCCCAGTGGTTCCTATCCCTAGGGTCTCAGATGTACAGACCACCTGGCTGTCCCCCTAGTGGGTTCAACCCCTAGTCTGCGGATATGACAGACACTGGCGTCCCCTGTGGGTTACGCCTGGTCTGCAGGATGACAGACACCTGACTGTCCCTAGTGGTTCTACCCCTAGGGGTCTGCGTGATGACAGACACCGACTGGTCCGCTAGTGGCGTTCTACCCTAGGTCCTGAAGGAATGGACAGGTACCTGCTGTCCCCCAGCTGGTTCATCCTAGGTCTACAGGATGACAGGTACCTTGCGCTGTCCCCCAGTGGTTACTTCCCTTAGTCCTGCAGATGACAGACACCTGGCTGTCCCCTAGTGGGTTCTACCCAGGTCACTGCAGGATGGACAGACACCTGGTTGTCCCCTTATTGGCTTCTACCCTAGTTCAGATGAAGACCCCGACTTCCCCTAGTGGGTTCTACCCCTAGGTCTGAAGGATGAACAGTACATGGCTGTCCCCAGTGGTTTACCCTAGGTCTGGCAGATACAGACACCTGGCTGTCCCCTAGTGGGTTCTACCCCTAGGGTCTGAGGAGACAGGTACCTGGCTGTCCCCTAGTGGGTTCTACCCTAGGTCTGCAGGATGACAGACACCTGGCTGTCCCCTAGTGGGTTCTACCCCTAGGGGTGCAGGATGACAGACACCTGGCTGTCCCCTAGTGGGTTCTACCCTAGGTCTGAAGGATGACAGGTACCTGGCTGTCCCCAGTGGGTTCTACCCCTAGGTCTGCAGGATGACAGACACCGACTGTCCCTAGTGGTTCTACCCTAGGTCTGCAGGATGACAGGCACCTGGCTGTCCCCTAGTGGGTTCTACCCCTAGGTCTGCAGGATGACAGACACCTACTGTCCCCTAGTGGGTTCTACCCTAGGTCTGCAGGATGACAGACACCTGACTGTCCCTAGTGGGTTCTACCCCTAGGTCTGCAGGATGACAGATACCTGGCTGTCCCCCAGTGGGTTCTACCCCTAGGTCTGCAGGATGACAGATACCTGGCTGTCCCCTAGTGGGTTCTACCCCTAGGTCTGCAGGATGACGACACCTGGCTGTCCCCTAGTGGGTTCTACCCTAGGTCTGCAGGATGACAGATACCCGGCTGTCCCCAAGTGGGTTCTATCCCTAGGTCTGCAGGATGACAGACACCTGGCTGTCCCCTAGTGGGTTCTACCCTAGGTTCTGCAGGATGCAGACACCTGCTGTCCCTAGTGGGTTCTACCCTAGGTCTGCAGGATGAACATACTGGCTGTCCCTAGTGGGTTCTACCCTAGGTCTGCAGGATGACAGACACCTGGCTGTCCCCTAGTGGGTTCTACACCTAGGTCTGCAGGATGACAGATACCCGGCTGTCCCCTAGTGGGTTCTACCCCTAGGTCTGCAGGATGACAGATACCCGGCTGTCCCCTATGTGGGTTCTACCCCTAGGTCTGCAGGATGACAGATACCTGACTGTCCCCTATGTGGGCTGACCCCCAGGTGTATGGAAGCCCTGGTTGGCACACACCTGACCGCTTCCTGAACGGGCTCCTCAGGAAAAGGCAGCAGAGGCCAAGCCCCAATGCTCTTCTCACAGCTCAGCAGCTGCAGGGAAACATTTAACTGCTTATGAAGATTGTACAACAACATCCTAGAAAATTTATTTTTTATGTGTGAGGGATGTTAAATCACTGTCTAGAAAGTACACATTTGTAAAGTTGTTACAGACCCTACAACATTTTAAAACCAGGTGGTACGTCTCAGTTATTCAGTTGATCTAGATGGGTGAGGCTGGTGAACCCCCCCGGGGGCCAGCAGGCAGGTAATGTGTGGGGTGCCGTGAGCATGTCAGCAAATCCTTCTGCTTTCTTGGTGGGAGTGACCTGTCTCCTCCCTGAACCGGGACCAGCGCTGGTGACTGCCCTGCACCCAGCAGAACTCAGTGCAATGCGGAAGCCACGCAGCTTCCAGAGCCAGGTCCGAGATGGGGCGCCTCCCTTCTTCTCCTGGTACGTGCTTGGGGTGAAGCCAGCTGTCACCTGGGATGGCCTCTGCCAGGCCCCGTGAGGCTCTGGCCAGCCCCTGGCCTTCTCAGATGGGACCGCAGCCTGTCAACACTGCAGAGGCCACGGTCAGATCCCTCGGCAGACTGTCCCCAGGTTTCTGATGCACTGAAGTATGAGCAAATTAAACAGTGGCTGTTGCCGTCCTGAACGTGGGCAGCTGGGGCCCAGCAGCAATCTCCAGAGCGAGGCCTCAGAGAAGCGAGACTGCTGCCAGGCAGAAACTGCGCACGCCGTGGATGGCAGGGGTCGAAAGGAACAGGAGGCCGTAGGGAGCCCAGATGGCTCCCAGGGTGGGGGAGAGGATATTGCCCAGGGACACAGGGGGCTTGAGAGGCTGGACACTCAGCCACTCAGGTCGGAAGGTAGAACCTGCCTTCCAGAAGTTTCCCTCCTTGCTCCGTCTCTCTCAACACTGGTTCCCTGCAGGCGAGTTCTGGTTCTTCTCCCTTGGTGAAGAGCAATGTTAGCCCGAGTGGTCCTAGGCCAGCTCGGCCTGCGGCATCGCTCGAGCCGGTCTGAGGGGGCCTGTGACCCTCAGACGCTCCTCGCCCTGCTCTGCTGCGGCCGCGCCCCTCCAACTCATGCTGTGCCTCCTGAGACAGCGTCGCCTGAGCGGGTCCTCTCGAGGCCCTGCCCCCTCACGCTGCCTTTGCAGGTCTCTCCCCACCCGTTACCTGCCGGCCCTGTCACACAGCCTCCCTCAGAGGCAGCCCTTTCCTGCACTTCCGCTGTGCCACGCCATGTGTGACGCTGTTGTTCTGCCCTCGTCCTGCCGGTCAGCACCTTCGCTAATGCCCACATTGGCACTTGCTGGCAGGAATGCTTAAATGTTTCTTGTTTATTTTAATTAACAAGTTAGCCAAAGCTCGTCCTGTGTCTCAGAAGACATTCCTCACCACTGACAAACAAAAACCGCTACTGGGTTAATGGCAGCAAAACAGCAGCCTGCTGAGGCACCAAGCAAACCGGCGCCCAGTCCCTGGTGAGCGCGGCACGGCCGGGGAAGTGAGCCTGGCCACACCTTCAACCGCCACACAGAACCCGTGGGGAGAAAGCTGAGCGACTTGGCTAAAGCCGCACAGCAGGCAACGCTGGGCCACCGCACAGGCAGGGCTGGCAGGCAGACTGCACCCTCCGCAGGTGACGGTGCCAGAGACACGCACCCTGCCCCAACACCTGCCTCTGGCGTACCTGCTTTCTAAGGCGAGACACCGGGTGGCAGCGGGAGCCATAGCCTTCTGCAAGATCAAGGAGCAGCTTTATCGCTGCCTTCTCCTAGTTTAGAGAAAACAACATTAGTTACTACAACTCTTGGTTATAGGCTTTTAGTTTTTTCCTACTGAATCATCAGCCATTTAAAGTCTCAATTTCTCATTATCTCCCTTCAAATAACTCTGTTCAGCTGTAACAAGGCAAAACTCTTCATTAAAAAAGGTTTGACATGGCAGCCAAATCAGAGCCAACGAGATGATTTTAAATGAAGATGATTAACCAAGATAAACATCCACTTCTCTGTCCATGATGCAACAAAACGAACTGAAAGAAGAAGATGGCAAACAACTGGGAAATTTAAGAGATTCTACCACAAAACCAGGAAATAGTAATTTAAACACTAAAAATCGATACAAGTGAAAAAGAATTACACAGCTATAAAACACTTAACATATAAATATTGAAAAAAAGTAAAAATAACATTATTTGCAGCTGATATGACTGTAAATCTAGAAAATCCAAGTGAGTCAACTGAAAACTATTAGAAACAATAAAAAGTCATTGAGTTCATAGGTGACAAATTTAATAAGCAGTAACTACCTACAATTCTCAACACAGCTGCCTGTGAACAACACAAGCAACTGCAACAGCTGGGAGTTAACTGCAGAGGACCCCTGAGCCTTGCTCGCCCAGACGTCCAAGAGCCCTTCCGTGGGAACAAGGAGACAGAAACGGTGCCTCACGGGTGACCTCCCAGCAGGGCAGACAGAGGCACACGCAGCCTGCGGCCCGGATGAGTCCCTGGGGACACAGGGTGGCCTGCAGGCACCTGGCTTGTCCTCGGACACGAGCCCACAGGAATCTGAGTCTGAGCAGGGGGTGAAATGTGTGCATCGCCCCGGCTGCTGTGGTGGCATGGAGACCACGGTGTCACAGGACACGGCGGGAGACCAGCGGCACCATCAGTCTTAGGGGAAAGCTGCGATGGCCTGACCCAGTGGCCTGCGAGAGAGGAAGTACAGACTTGGGGCATAGTTTTAGGACACAGGGTTGAGTGGACTGAGGAGAGAGCCCAGGACACTGAGCATGGCGGCAGTGCCTGGGTGGGGAGGCCCGGGGTGCAAGGAGTGCATGGGGGGGTGTGAGGGTGGAGCCAGACCGCGTCACTGGATGTGCCCAATAACCATAAAAATACAATTATCTATCCAAAATAATCCAAAAATAATAATCCAAAATAATAATCCAAATAATAATAATCAAAATAATCCAATAATTATCCAATAATATATTATTACAACCCAATAATAATCCAATATGATCCAATAATAATAATCCAATATAATCCAATAATAATAATCCAAATAATAATAATCCAAATAATAATCCAAAAATACGATTATCCAGGAGCTCACTCCTCTCTGTTTGCTTTTGGGGTTTTGTGCTCAACTACTAGAGTTCACACAGAATAGTAACACTTAGAGAACAGGTGGGAAAATTCTGAGAAGAGTAATGAGGAACTAATCTTACAGATACTAACCTGTGTCATGAAGCTGTTAGCAAAGAGAGCCCAGGACAGAGCCCGGCGCACGCCACAAAAGATGGCGATTCTCTGAGTGGCGCTAAGACACCCTGTAGCACCGCAGGGCAGAGGCCAGGCGCCCACAGCCCACCCTGTTCTCCACCTCACGCCCAGGATGCAAAAAATCCCGGTTGGGTCAAAAGATGTAAATGGAAAAAAAGAAATTATAAAAGTACCAGGGGAAATATACAAATATATTTATAATTCTGAAAAGCAAAGAGTCTCTCCAGGATGACTCCAGACGCAGAAGCCAAGGAGAAAAACCAAAACCTAACGACAAGGAACCAGCAACATGCTCAGCGGAAACAGCAAACAGGCTGACGCCGGCAGACACAGTACAACTGAACAAAACGCAGCAAAAGACAGCAGTGAGTTCACAAAAGAATCACAAACATTTAGTAGACACAAAAACAGTAGCAGAATATCACAAAAAAGAAATGGAAATAAAAACAAAATCCTATTGACAAGTTCTGTCTTGGAACAGCAGCTCTTGTTTTACAAATTTACTTGCACAAGCAAGCACTCACATGAACGGCCATTCATTTCGGCACCATAATTAGTAATTTTCCACATCAGGAAAAACCACAGCCCACCCCTCAGTGAAGGACCACTTAGATAAGTAATGATATGTTGATAAAACGGAACGTCAAACAGCTGCTAAGGAGAACAGGGCAGAACAAAGATGCCACCCACACGCTGCTGAAGAACAGCAGCTGCAAAGCAATGCATGTCTTCCCGTGAACCACACGTGTCCGTGCACTCAGAAAAAATATGCACACAAAGATGCCCAATCATTCACAGTAACTTCTGGGAGATGGGATTCCTAAGGGCTTTCACTTTTCACACATTAATTTTTCTATCTTGTGTGAACTTTTAAACAATTTTAAAAATAACTGTCACACATATAATCTGGAAAAAAGATTAAAATATCAATAACAAATGCTCTAACCTAAATCGTTTATTTTAAAATAATAAAAGGACCACAACTTATTGATGATGCAAATATCCCACTCCATACACCTATAAAAATTTCCTGATATTTGGTTGATTCTGTTTTATAATTTGTTCTTTGGTTTTCAATACCCCATTGCTATTACATATGAATGAAAATGAGTTTAAGAAATGAATTAGCATAAATTAAGTAATATTGATTATCTGTTACATAGAAAATATGCATAAATGTGATCAATTCACATTTGTTCTGACGCAGGACACCATAACTCAGATACAGGAAAACAAAAGATGATTAACAGTTAATTACATTTGAGAAATGAACTATACTCATTAAAGGCTGAATGAGAGAGAATGTGATCAAAGATTTTCCTCCCTACACATTACCTTAAACACTGATAGCAGATCTTCATCGATGAATCTGAGTAAAAGTACCAGGGAAAACGCAAGCAACTGACTGGTCATCTCCTTTGGAAATTCACGTAAATCGATCTCCCCGTGGCTTAAGCGGTCTCTTACACGGGGACCCGTCTGATGGTTCAAGAAATCCCAGAGAAATTCCTTCCAGAAAATAAGCAGACAGATGCTTTGTCAGTATTCCCAGCAGAAGGAAGAGCGGTGCCTAGGCCCAGAGCTGGGCCGTTCCTGGCGTGTTTGTGCAACAGAGGAAACGGTGACACTGGGACCCTCAGGGGGCCACACAGCTGTGGAGCCCGTGGCTGGCACCCCTGGGGGACTCGTCCTCTCTGAACATCACGCAGCACTGACCAGAGCCTGAGCTGTTCCGACGGGGCAGAGCTACCTGGATGGTGCCGGCACCTCCTAAACTCAGGTCTGTCTTATTCTCACCCTCCTCTAAGGAAGGGAACTGAGCTGTACGCATCAGGAAACCGCTGCTCTCACTTGAATGAGCCTGGCCCTTGCACCATCATCTCCTCATGTCCTCTGTGCCTGCCCGTGTGCTTCTCAGACCACTCCTGGCCCTGCGGCCTGGTGAGGAGAGCCGCTGCTCCTCTCAACAAACAGCCCCGGGGACAAGAGGTCAGGAAACTGCCGACCGAATTGCAGGGACTCCAGGTGGAAATGAGCGGCAGATAAACTACTGCAGCCACCTTTCTTCCGATGGCAGAAACGGACGCCCAAAGGGGACAAGGAATCGGACTAATGTCACAGAATAGGAACAGGAATCTTTTCACCCAAGACTCAATCCTATCAGTCACATTTCACAAAGAAAGCAGTCCCTTCTACAGCACAAACACACATAAAGTTCAGACACTGCGTAGGGACGGGGCAGCTGCCCCTACACATCCCCTGGCCTCACCAGGGGCATGCAAACAACCAGCACACAGCACAGGGCCCGAGGGGTCGCGGCGGGCTTCTGCTGAGGGCACGTGAACGGTCCCCAAGTGTGTTCGTAGCATCAGAGCCAAAACCACTTCCATGTTGGAGACAGGCCTGCCACACTCCCACACGCGAGAACACTGGACTAGAAAACACCTCATACTGACCATGGCAGGCTCTCCGAGGAAAAGAGGAAGCTGATTGATTTTACCGTCGTTCAAGTGTTTTGCCAAAACCTAAAACACCAAAAATAAATTATATGGTCCACACACTTAAAGGACATAGTACCTTTAGCATAACGTGTTACAGATTCCAAGCAAATTAAATGACAGTGTTTAAAACATAGCAACCACCTGTTCAGGAAAATTTTTCTTAGCCAGTATAATGACTTTAGGAATATACATATTCTTAATTGTATGTGTGTCTGTGTGTATGTATGTGTGGTGTGTGTGTGTACATACGTGGTGTAGGGTGTCTGTGTGTGCTTGTGTGTACACATCAGAGTCACTTCATGAGTCACTTCTTAACTCACCATGGACTTTGGAACCCAACCACCCTGACCCAATCCTACAGACCTAGCCCGACACAGATTTGGCTATACTATCTAACCTGGTCCTCACATTTTGAAATGCTTTATATACTAAAATAATAGCAAATTATTTACCTACTACATCTGCAGGTAAGCAGACACATTTTTAATTTACCCACCACACGTTCACTTAGGAATCTACTAGTTAAGGCACAATGGTCCGAATGCCCAGACTTCTACAGGTAGACTCCCCTGGTTTCCCAGAGGCAGCCGCCCTTCAGGTGCACAAGAATACAAGAATCCAGGACTGCACACACTAAAGCTTCTGTGCTCTATGGATGATAAAAGACATTTCCAACTGTACTTTTTATTACTTCAGAGTGGCACTTTGGGAATCATACCCCCAATACGCAGATTAAATAAATCAATATATACTAGACACTCGTAACAGCAGTTGAGGAATATTTCACGTGCAAAAAAGATAAATGTAAAACGTAAACCTAAATCTAAAATGTAAGCCTCCAAACAATTTCAGTGAAGAATGTTAGTATCAGCCGGGCGCAGTGGCTCACGCCTGTAATCCCAGCACTTTGGGAGGCTGAGGCGGGCGGATCGCTCGAGGTCAGGAGTTCGAAACCACCCTGAGCAAGAGTGAGACCCCGTCTCTACTATAAAAATAGAAAGAAATTAATTGGCCATCTGATATATATAGAAAAAATTCAAAAAATTAGCCGGGCATGGTGCGCATGCTGTAGTCCCAGCTACTGGGAGGCTGAGGCAGGAGGATTGCTGAGCCAGGAGTTTGAGGTTGCTGTGAGCGAAGACTGATGCCAGCCACTCACTCTAGCCTGGGCAATTAAGCGGAGACTGCTGTCTCAAAAAAAATTAAAAAAATAAAAAAAAAAAAAAAAAAAAAAAAAAGAATGTTAATCTCTTGGCATGTTAGTA